CCAGGCAAAGCAGCAGTCTGGCATTAATTCTGAAAGAGGGAAAACACATTATATTTATGGGCAAGTATACCTCAGAGGGAATAACCCTCCTACATTACCATACAGTTTACCTTCTCAATCTCTGGCTCTATAAGAGACTGGCACTGGTGGAGCTGACTGACTTTATACTGGGAACCAGTGAGGCTGACTCATGTCCTCTTCAGCATGGGCCTTCAGGGCCTTAATCAAACCGAGTTGAGAGGGAAAACAGCCACACCACAATTCTGCACAGACACAGCAGTCCCATCAAAACCTTTCTTGTTGTTTGAACCTTTCTTGCTTTCTAAAATCTCCCTTACCTGCACAGACACAGCAATCCCACCACACATCTACCAGGCCTCAAACAAAGAGGAACTAACGGCTCTCACCTGCGCTTATAAGGAGGGAGGGCTCTCTCTAACCCTACCTACAAGGGGCGGTGCTCCTAACCTAAGTGCCGGCTCTCACATATAGTGTGTTGTATTTTTGAAATCAATGAACTGCTGGGGACACTACTGCCTCTCTGCCTCCCCGCGTTCCTGCCTGCTCCGCGCGGACCCAGGCGGCCGTCTGGTCAGGAACTGTCAGTGCCCGCCGTTGATTTGTGATCTGACGGAGCGCAGCGGAGAGAGCCGGAGTGGTGCGCAAAGGGTCGGAGTGAAACTGGGAACATATCCAGGCAGCCAGACTACCTCCGTGGCTACCGGTGTCGATGCATGCCCCGCGCGGGCCCAGGCGGCCGGCTGTTCAGGTCCTGTCAGGGCCCGCCATTGTGTTATTTTCCGACGGAGCGCAGCGGAGCGCGCGTCTAAGCTGTGTGCGGCAGGTCGGAGTGAAACTGAGGGAATTTCCAGGTAGCCCGACTGCCTCCGTGCCTCCCCATGTCCCTGCATGCTCCGCGCGTGCCCAGGCGGCTGGCTGGTCAGGTGCTCTGAGGGCCCGCCATTGTGTTATAATCCCAAGGAGCGCAGCGGAGCGCCCAAGCCACGTTCAGCTGGTCGGACCGACTCTGAGAGCATTTCCTGCCTCCCAGCATCCCTGTCTGCCCCTCGCGACCCCAGACGGTTGGCTAGTCCAGTCCTGTCAGGCCCCGCCATTGTGTGTTGTTAGGACGTAGAGCAGCGGAGCGCGCTTAAGCTGTGTGCAGCAGGTCGGAGTGAAACTGAGGGTATTTCCATGCAGCCCGACTTCCTCCGTGCCTCCCAGCGTCCCTGCATGGCCCGTGCGGCTCCAGGCGGCCGGCTGGTCAGGTGCTTTCAGTGCCCGCCATTGTGTTATTATCTGAAGGAGCGCAGCGGAGCGCCGACGCCACGCGCAACATGTCGGACCGACTCTGAGAGCATTTCCACGCAGCTCGACTGCCTCCGTGCCTCCCAGCGACCCTGCCTTCCTCATGCGTCCGCAGGCGGCCGGCTGGTCAGGTCCTGTCAGGGCCCACCAATGTGTTATTTTCCGACGGAGCGCAGCGGAGCGCGCCGCAGCGGTGTGCAGCAGGTCGGAGTGAAAGTGAGGGCATTTCCAGGTAGCCCGACTGCCTCCGTGCCTCCCCGTGTCCCTGCATGGCCCGTGCGGCCCCAGGGGGCTGGCTGGTCAGGTGTTCTGAGGGCCCGCCATTGTGCTATTATCCCAAGGAGCGCAGCGGAGCGCCCAAACCACGCGCAGCTGGTCGGACCAACTCTGAGAGCATTTCCTCGAAGTAGGGCTGGTCCCGTGCCTCCCAGCATCCCTGTCTTCCCCTCGCAACCCCAGACGTTTGGCTGGTCAGGTCCTGTGTGTTGTTAGGACAGAGCGCATCAAAGCGCAGAGGAGTGCCGAGGCGGCGCACAGCAGGTCGGAGTGAAACCGTAGGCATTTCCACGCAGCCCGACTGCTTCCGTGCCTCCCATGGACCCTGTCTTCCTCTTACGGCCCCAGCCGGCCGGCTCGTTAGGTGCTCTCATGGCCACGCAGCAGGGGTGCCTCCGTGCCTCCCAGCATCCTTTAATATCATAACTCAGAAATTACTGCTGCACTCCTATTATACAGCACATCATATTGATGCCCGTGAACACATCATCAGTGATGTTTCCTGGACTGTTTCTTTCAGCATCATACCCAGTCAGAGTAGGTCAGGCCCCGGTTGTGTCCAGGTGGCGCCACCTACAGGTATTTGTGACACAACATAGTGAGATCATTCTTGAAGTTCATCTTTAATCTGATGTATTTCACTTCACCTAAGTCTCAGAGTTACTATTTTCTGTTTTAATACTTTTCATTTAATTTCCTTTATAGTTTGGTTTTAAACAGTTTTTTTTAAATTTTATTCAACTTTTAGCATTTTATTAGTTTTGTATATCTTATGATTTTATCATTTTAGTTTTTGCTCCTGTGTTTCCCCATTTTAATTCAAGATAGCGTTTGTTTGGTCCTCTGTGGCTTCCTGTTGAGACCTGACTTGGTGTCCCTGTGTGTGTGTCTGTGTGTGTGGGTCTGTGTGTATGTGTGTGTGTGTGCGTGAGTGAGTGGCATTTCGTGTTAAATGTGGGCTGGGAAGGTGGGTGGGGTTTTGTATTTTATTTTGTATCCCCTGACCCTTTCCAGATTGTGTTCTGTAATGTACAGCACTTTGTGATGCATGTCATGTATGAAAAGTGCTTTATAAATAAAGTTTGATTGATT